CATAAAGACGGTCCTGCAAGTGAGATGTGAACGCAGCAAACTCTTCCTTTACTGGTATGAAAAACAAAGACTAAACCAAACTTCCTCTTCCTAAAAATAGTCAGTAACCAAATACTACTACCATTCTTTAACCCAGTGTAGATGGGTCTGCTTGCTGTTTTTTGTTTAATGAATGGGCCACATGAAGCTTCTAAAACTCCCCAAATATCACAAAAGCTCTTTCATAATATGGACTGATATAAAAGCAAAGGAAAAGGCTGAACTCATTTACTCCTAGTGGCATCTCTTCAGATATTCCCTCTTCAGATATTCGCTCTGTTAATTACACTTCAGCAGCAAGCACTAAATGTGAACGCAAACAGTTCAACTGGAGTTAGCAGTATCTTCTGGCTATGTCTGGCTTTGTGTGTGTTTGAAATACAGTCTTGCAGAAAGACCCCAAATCAGGAGTCTGGATTCTGCTCTCTTCTCGGTCATGTACTTGACAATGTGATGATGATCTTGGACTTGCTTCTCTCATCTCCATATTCTCACTGTGACCCTTTCACAAGATAAAGCAAAAGTGTTCTGGAAACTTCCCGAGCCTCCAACACAATACGAAGGAATCTTGCTTTGACCATCCTTTTGAACACTAAGCTCAGCTATGAAACGGACACACTGGACTCTAGGCATTCAGCCTCATTTTCTGCTTTATCTTGAAGAAGTTCATTCTTTCTTTCTCTGTGCCACATTCCTGACAAGTAACATCAACACCCTCATCTGGGAATTGTTGCCTTTTCATTTTCCCCTCCTGATGCCAGAGCTGCCACTGACAGTATGTATTCAAGCAAGGCAGAGACTCCTGCATTTCGCCATCAGATGCCACGCACACGACTTCCGTCAAAACAATTAGTGTTCATTTCGGCTTTACTCGGGGAGACCTGTGGTGACTGATCAGTATAAATTATGGATGCATCTGTCCAGATGCACTTGCTCATTCATGCATACATTGGAGAAAATTTCATTCTTCTCAGTTCAAAAACAGTCACTCAAAAACCTCCATGCCTAAAAAACATAATTTAGCACATTTCAACTATGTTATTCTGTCCATGGAGCCACTCATTCCATCTGTAATTTGAGGCATTTGAAACTCCTGGTGGGGAGGTATTTCTGGGTTACTGTTTCCTGTTCTGTAACATTTTCTGTTTTCACAAGTCATTAGGAAATCATAGATATTTCAACTCAAAATAATGCAATATTACTTGTTTTTCTTCTTTTTTTTTTTCTTTTTCCTTTTTGGGGGATCTGCCTTCAAGCTTATTGTCAAACACACATCCTTTACTCTGCCTGCCCAGGAATGTCAGTGCAGTTAACGCAAGGCAATATGAACTTCAAATAAGCAATGTGGATTAGTGCTCTCCATGGTCCAAATAGGCCTTTGTTTGCTTTGTTTCATATTAGTTTTAATGAGCAGCTAGAGGAACTATCAGGCCTGTTGCACAAGGCAACAAAAGAATCTGTATCATTTGTTCAAAGTATATTCGGTGGGATGCTTCCCATGAATATAACTGGAAAGGTCTGCATTTGATAGGTTTATTTACTTGCTTCAATAAAATTCTATGTGCACACATATACAATTGGGGATTTTCCCCTGGAACTAAATTAATCAACGTTGAACAAAGCAATGAAAAGCCGACATGGTGGAGGAGCCCAGGGCTGCAGAAGTGAGAGCCTGGGAAGAAACAGGAAGACGAAAGCATATTCCACTGCCACACTCCAGAATCATACTTCCTGAGAAACGGACGTCTTTACACACCTGAGGTTTCTGCCAGAGATTGGTACTGGCTTAAATTGCTCTTTGTTTTGTTATAAGGGTCCCAAAATAATGGCAAGAGTAGGCACATCTTATAATAACCATTTTTAGGGAATCCCACTAAATACTCAAAGAGATAGTAATCAAATGCCATTAGGACAGAGGAGCTTTTCTATGGTTGCTGCCAGCAGGCTTTCCTCCCTGGGAGACATTCTGATAGAAGCCACCAAAACCCTAAAGCAGCTTTGAAGACAACAGTTAAGCAGCCTTAACACAGAACATACTTTTTTTGTTGGTTTCTTTTCCATTTTCACAAAAGAAGGAAAGTGTTGAGCTATCTTCATAGTCCCACCTCCTGATTTATTTTGCTACTGGTTTTCTTTTTAAAAATCTTCCTGTTTCTCTCTAATCCTACAGCAAAGACAAGAGGCAGGCCTGAAGCCCCACAAAGGGTATTGACACCACAAAGGTCTTATAAATCAGTTGAAAATCAATAAATCCTATATGGTAGTTTCTGCTTTGCAACCATATCGCCAAGGGACAGAGCTAATGCTTTTTCTCCACCACCATGCCCATTTTTCTGTCATAAAAAAAAAAATCTGCTTAGGAACAAATGGGCAATCAAAGTTGCTGAGTAAGCATTTCAACTATCTAATTTTATTACTTTACAATTGACATACCTTCCCTCTGGAAATGTTTGCAATTAATTAATTAGTAGTAATCTTCCCCAAGGGGCTAATTTCATAAATACTCTCCAATTCTTACTTAAAAAAAAAAAGGCTTAGCTGTTTCCAAGCTGCAAAGGGGAGAAATGTCTCCAAAGAGCAGCTTGAAAAATCAAGGGATCTATTTATTACTGCAAATTTTTATCACTAAGTCAATCCCGTGACAACCATAATTCTTTTTCTAACTAGGAGTTCCCCAGCTTTGAAAGCAAGGCTTCTCCAAGGTGACAGCGCTCCGTGGTAGCAGCTGGGTTTGTTAGTATTGAGAATGGAGCTTGTCCTGGACTGTGCTCTTAGGCAGAGTCCTCTGTGGTTTGTGACCCCTTTAAGCTCCTTGTGCATTTTTCAGAATCTGCGAAGAAAAGAGAAGGGAGCAGAGGTGTGGGGAGGTGGAGGAGTGGAGTGGTGTTGAACCTATACTTCATTCTAGGAGGCTGCTGGCTCAAGCCTGCTAGTTCCCTTAGCAAGGTGTCAGAGTCAGGCCAGCAGTGAGATGCTCCTTGCCCCTGTGCTTGGACTTAGGAACCCAGAGCTGTTCCTATCCGCTGGGCCACGTGGTCTTGTGTTTCAATTAGAAAATAAAACTGGGCCCTTGAACCTCAGGATCCCTGTGGGGAGTTGCAGCAAGGGTCTGGAAGAGCTTTTTTATAAAGTGTCAAGTGGGCTGTGACCCCTGAGAGTGAAAAGAAAAGATTTTCTAAGGTTTCCAGTTAGCAAACTGCACCAGATGCAGGCAGCACCCGCTTAAGATTTTCCCTCGTCAGAATTGCAGTCCCTTCTGGTCCCTAGATATCTAGTCATGGGTTGGAGGTCTTCAGAAGGCGTTGTCTCAGGGCCTGGGGACTGACCCATCAGATGTGCAGTCTACAGCGCTAGCAAACTGGGCGCCTCCTGTCCCGGAGCCAGGTCTTGAGGACGCAGCCCCCTTCAAGGAAACAGCAAGAACCCACCTAGGCCCAACGGTGCCCTTTGAGTACCCTGGGATGGGGGGTAAGAGGGAGTCACATCCCTGCGCCCAGCCCAGTGTCCCTGCGGAGCGCAGGGAATGGACCTCCCTGCCGAGCTCTCCACTGCGGCTCGCCAGCGCCACCCCCAGCGGAGCAGAGCGCCTGCACCTCGGCCCTGACGGCTTCCTCGGCTCCCTGGCTCCCGGCGGACACCGCAGGCAGCGCGTGCGAGGCAGCCAAGCCTCGCCTTCGGAGGAGATGCCCAGAGGTCTTAGCTTGCAGTCTGCAGATGCCAGGGTTCAGACTTGGCGAGCTTCCAGACCGCGTCCAAAGGGGCCTGAACTTTTGCCTAGAGGGGGCGCTATTCCGCTCATTCGAGGGCCAGGAGGTTGCAGAGTAGTCCCAGGGTCAAGGACCTGGCCAAGGCCAGGACTTAGCCGGAATCAGCCAGAGTCTTGGGGGAAACTGAAAGGAGAGCCAGATCCCCGAAGACAAAGATGGGCCACCCAGTGGAATCCACCAACGCTGCTCGGAGCTGTTCCAAGGAGCGCTGGGCCGTTCGTGAGAACAAACTTTGCTGCAGAGAAGAGAAGGAGGAGATAGGCTGGATGGAGGCTTCTCCCCCGAGCCTCTGCTCTCCTCCACCTGCCAGTGTTCAGCCTCCGCCCAGCCTTCTCCCACCCCAGTTCCCTCCCCCACCCCCGCGCGCTCTGTTCACTTACACTCCTCATCTCTCCTCTCCCCCCCCTTCTCCCTCTTGCCTTTCTCCCCCACTTTTCTCCTGTCTCTTTTGTATTCTCTCCTCCCTCGCCGCCCTGGTTGCCTCTCGCCTCCTTGGGGCCGCTGAGGAGGAGGTGAGCGCGCTTCACCCAGGGCCTGCGCAGCGCAGAGGGAGGCGTTCCTTCCACTTCTCCCGGGTAATTTGGAGAGATTCTGTGTGTGTGAGTGCGCGTGTGAGCTTGAGGTGAAAGGGGGTAGGATCTAGCGCTGGGGAGAGAGGGTCAGGGTCTTTGACGTTCCTCACCGGCTGCACAAACATTCAGGAGCAAGTGCGCGTGTGGGTGAGAGTACGCGCGCGCACACACGGGCTGGCTGCATTTGGCACGCTTGGTGGCCCGGGGCCCTGGGACCCGGGGTCTCGTTTGGCAGCCCAGGATTACCGTGACGTCACCTCGAGCCTCTGTCCAGCTTGGACTGGGACACCTCGAGAGCTTCACAGCCCCACGCCGCTCCGCGTCTCACCTAGCCACCTCGCGTCTTTGGAAACCCTCGCCTTCTTCCTTCCCCTGCCCATCCATGGGCCCTTCTATCTTCTGGACCCCACGGGCCGGAGGGGCTCCTTGCGGAGCGCAGGGCTCGGCAGCTGGGCTGCCCTTGGCTCTGCCTCCAATAGCGCCCAGCAGGCTGAGGAACTTGTGCTGGGCACCCGCCGCGGTGTAAGAAAACGAGACGCTGCACCGCCAGGGGCACCGAACCACTGGGCTGAGAGGGGAACCCGTAAGGGAATAGGGAGACAGGACAGGACAGCCCGGAGCTATGTCCTTCCCACACTTTGGACACCCATACGGCGGCGCTTCCCAGGTAAGTAATGTCTTCATTAGGAATAGGGGGCAGACTGGATGAGGGGGTGCCCGGTGCGCGCGCCTACACCTGTGCTTCCCCCTCTCGGTGACCCGTGGGAAGCCAGAGGGAGCAAGGACCAGGGAAATGTACCACAGCCTCTTCAGACACCCCCAATCCCTTACTGAGAATATTCTATTCCCAAGTGCATGCTGGAAAATCGTGTGACCCAAACGTGGGCGCTCTAGCCAGGCGTTCAGTGAGGCTGTTTGAATCTCAGGGCTCTTCCAGTCAGGTAGTCTCCTTGTACAAGATGTGTGCGGTGGCCCGGAGCATCACAGTAAAAAGACTTCCAGTACAGAGCGCTGTCCATCTCCTGGTCTGCTGCTCATTTGTTGATCTCTGTTCTCACCCCATTCCTTCCTTGGATCGTTCTCCCAATTTTCCAAAGCAGGGTGGGTGTTGTGTGGTGACAAAGGTTTCCTGGGAGATTTCTGGGGACACCCATCACTGTTCTCAAGTTTCTCCAACAGAGTGCAGATATATTTTTCTGGGTCTAGTGCTAGCTCGATCTTTGACAAGTCTCCTATTCTTTCTGATCCTCGGATTTCCTATCAATAAAACGGAGATAGGAATGATAGGATGGTGGTGTCTGCCTTTGTAGGGTCCCATGACGCTGGGGAAGGGCATGGGTCAGAGACTTGACCTCTAATTTTGGTTTGTGAATGTTCACATTCCAGGAATGCCTTCCTTCTCCCTGCCCCTCATCTTTAGCAATAGTTTAGGTACACTGTAACAGCAGTTTGGATAAGTTGCCATAGTAAAAGTCCCCTCCCAGAATGCTTGGCATATGGTGGCATTTAGTTAATACAGAATACAGGAACTGAAGGACTGGTTGGGTAGTTCCCTACTTCCCTCTGCTTCCTCTCTAGTTCCCTCAGGTGGAAGACTCTGGTCTCTGACCTCCAGTGACCTTTCCTGTCCTGTCCGCTCTCCTCTAGTTTCTGGTGTCTGCAAGTTCCAACACTACTTGCTGTGAATCTGCCCCTCGCTCTGTCTCAGATGTGGCCTCAGGCTCCACCCCAGCGTCTGCTCTTTGCTGTGCACCTTATGACAGTCGGCTGCTGGGCAGTGCACACCCTGAGCTAGGTGCTGCTTTGAGCATCTACGGAGCCCCCTATGCAGCTGCGGCAGCTGCCCAGAGCTACCCTGGCTACCTGCCCTATGGCCCGGAGCCACCATCACTGTATGGGGCCCTGGTGAGTATGGGATTGGGCTTGGGACTGCTCCCTAGAACATGGCTGGGCCTGGGGTCATGGGCAGTAGCAGCAGCAGCAGGTAAAATCCAGTGTGATCTCTCAGCAATTAATGGTTAAGATTGTGCATAAGGACAAAATTCAACTTTACAGCACTTTACAGTTTGTAGAACTCCATCATGTTGAAAAGACATTTGTACTTCTATTCTGTGAGGTTGGTAAGTCATCACCATTCTCAATTTACAGATGAGGAAATTGAGGTGCAGAAAGGTTCCATCACCTTCCCCAAAGCCACAGCATGCAAAGGGTCAAGAATAGCCCTGGACAGAGATTGATGTAGGGAAGTGCACCAGCTGGTGTGTACCTGGTGTGAAGGAACAGTCGCTAATATTTAACTCTCACGCTTGTTTTGTCCCAGCCCATACCCACCAAGCCCATACCTGCATGGTCTTCTTCAATAACCTCCAGGTACCATCCATCTCTATGTTACCAGGAGAGACACAGAGGCACAGAGTGGTTAAAGGACAGTGCCCAAGGCTGCACAGCCAATGGGGATGTAAACCAAGCTTGCCCTCAGAGTCAACAGCCCCACCTGCACTCCTCCCATGCAGTCCTGAATTCTCTTTCTTCTCCCATCAGAATCCGCAGTATGAATTTAAGGAGGCAGCAGGGAGTTTTACATCCAGCCTGGCCCAACCAGGAGCCTATTATCCCTACGAGCCAACTCTGGGGCAGTACCAATATGACCGGTGAGGAGCACCTTGGTTACTGGCTTCCCACATGCTTCCCCATCCCCTGCCACACTGGGGTGGAGAGGGAGGAGGAAGGGGAGAGCAGAGACACACTTCCAAATGACTTGAAACCCCTTGACCTGAGTCTGGTTCTCCCCACAGGTATGGTGGGATGGAGTTGAGTGGTGCAGGACGCAGAAAGAACGCCACTAGGGAGACCACCAGCACGCTCAAGGCCTGGCTCAACGAGCACCGCAAGAACCCCTACCCCACCAAGGGCGAGAAGATCATGCTGGCCATCATCACCAAGATGACGCTCACCCAGGTGTCCACCTGGTTTGCCAACGCACGCCGGCGCCTGAAGAAGGAGAACAAGATGACGTGGGCGCCCAAAAACAAAGGTGGGGAGGAGAGGAAGTCAGAGGACAGAGAAGAGGACTCCATGGGCTGCCTAAATGGTGACACCAGAGGTAACTACAATGTTCACCAGTCCACCCAATAGGTTTTACAAGCAACCAAGCAATTTGATCCAAAGCCATCCTGTGGTGCACATTTTCTAGAAGGTGCTCCTCTTACCTGTGCACTTGCAGCTAAACCATGCCCCTGGCCCAGGATCTTTGTCCAAGCACTTGCTCTACTTAGAATTCCCTGCAGAACCAGCTGCTTCTCAGAAAGGCCATCCCTCCTCGCTCAAGCTAAAGGGGCTTCCCAGTTATTGCGTATTACACCAGCCTGTTTAATGTCATTTGCCATATTCATCGCTCTGAGAAAATTTACCCACTTCACCACTGCCTACCCCCTCTAGAATGTCACCTCCATTAGATGTCTTAAGGGTGCATGCAGTCCCTAAATACCAAAATACCTAAATTCCTAAATAATGTCTGGCACATAGCTTGCACTCAGGAAATCCTTGCTGAAATAAGTAATATGACAGCAAACACCTGTGGGTGTTGACATTGGATGAAACCTTTCCCCCCTCTTTTTACAATCCAGAAACTTCGATCCAGACTCCAGTAGTGAGCAAACGTGGCCTTTCCGTGGCTAGGCGCTGGCTGGAGAGGACAGGTGTTCCAAGGGGAGGGGGCAGGCCCAGGCGGGGCAGGCCTGGGGAGGGGCAGCCAACCCCTGGGCAAGTGTGAGAGAGGATATGGCAGAACCGGTGAACTACACCGAGAACGCCCTGAATGCGGGACCTTCTTGCTAAAAGCTTCTCAGGGCTGGGCACTCCCTAAGATTTCCCCTGGGTCCTGGGGCTTTTCTCACTCGCTCTTGATTTCCTGCAGACGATACTGTTAGTCGCGAGGCCCAGGGACTTCGCCTGAGTGACTTGGAAGACCTGGAGGAAGAGGACGAAGAGGAGGAAGTCGAGGAAGAGGAGGCAGCGACACAGGACCCGCTGACGGAGTTCCATAAGGGCGCGCAGTCAGTGCGCGCGCCATGCGCCCCTGCTGTAGATGGCCGGTTGGAAAGCAGGGAGTGCGGCCTGTCAAAGCCCCGCTTCTCTTTCACTGAACCCCTGGGGTCAGGAGAAGCTGATTTCATTGCGACAGAGTCGGGGGGCCCCATGATCTTGCACTACCCATTCGGCGAGAAACCACGCATCTGGTCTTTGGCGCACACTGCGGCAGCCAGGGCGGTCGAAAGTGCACCCTCAACCCGGCCCAGGGCACGAAGTCCTGAGTGCCATATAATTTCCGGACTGCCTCCAGACCCTGCCAGGCGAACTGTAGTCCCCAGAGACTCCCCGTGCGAAGAGTCTCCCCGAGTAGTCAAAGCCTTCGGAAACTCCACGGTTGCGCTGCAGGGGCTGCCAGTGAACTGTGCGCCGTGCGCCAGACGGAGGGAGCCCGAAGTGCAGTGCCAGTACCCTTCTGGGGCAGAAGGTAGTGGGCCCCCAACGGTACTGGGAGCGTCTTTACAAAAGAGGCCTAACCACTACCTTGCCCAACCATTACATACCCTCTCTGCCTCTCATACAAGCCCGGGTTCAGACGTATGTCGCACAGCATTCCTTCTAAAGGATGCTTAGAGATAAAAAGTTCTTGTCCCTCATCATTTTAAAACCAAATCACAGTAATAAACTCGGAGGGAGACAGTCGTTTGCCTAGGATCACAAAGTCTTTGCAGAGATGGACAACATAGATCTGTGCATTCATGGTCACTGTTCTGCCAAATGCACCATGTGTCACCATGCCCCTCTAACAGAGCATTTTTGCCCCCTGCTTTCCCTTCAGAGAAGAGGATTTGGTCCTGCTGCGCTGGTACCAAGTGTTTTCTAGAGTTGAGCTCACCCCAGGACATTCAGAGCCGTCTGAGGGGGTGGGTTGAAGGTCAGTTTTTAAGTTCAGCTTGCAGTCCTGTCCCTGACTAAAGCCCCTTGGCAATGTAGCCATGCCTCTGTGTTCAGAAACTTAGAAGCCTAGGTTGGTGCTGTCCCTGGAGAACCTCATCTCTCAAGGGCTCATCAACAAGCAGGGCAAGATTGCAAATCAATGTCTCTGCTTCCAGTGTGCTGGGGGCCTGGTGGAAGGGAATTTCACCCCACAAAGGGACATTCTCCAAGCATTAGGCAGTCTCCAGCAATTACTGTCAGATTCAGCTCTTTGTAGTCATTTCTCTCAGGATTAGCTACTAGCTTAGAAAATTGGGTTACATTGCTATGTGAATTTACACATAAGTAGTCCAAGCATTACCTCAGGCAAGCAAATTGCCTCTAGACCTTTGCTTCCCTTCTAGTGAGACACGGGTGACCTCCGATTTCCTAGGAATTGCCACCAAGTGGCCTTCGGGTTTTAATCAACCTTTCCTCTCTCAGCAGGTTAGCGCAATGGCTGCGATTTGCAGAAGACTCTTGGAAATGGCCCCCACTTTTCCATTCACCTCCACACCAAGAAACTGCCAGACCTTGACAGAGACCAGGAGTTCTCACTTCGCTTAAGAGACAAACACATAGAAATCCTCCTAAAGCAGCCATCCTTGCACTCAGAGCTGAGGGTGGCTGGATACCTAGAGGATGGCCAAGTGGGAAGGCTGGGTGAACAGCCCAGGGCATGGACTCCACCTAGTTTTCCTTCCCCTCTGGATAAAGGGCCCCCAACCAGGTCCTCACAAGCTTGCCCTGGCCCTTCACCTCGCCCCTCACTTTGTAATTCCATAGCTGATCTGGTCTTTAAAAACCACCCGCATCTTCTTCCCCTGCCCACCCTTTGTCTTTAAAAATAATCCAGCTGAACGCAAGCTTTGTGGCCTGTCTGTGCCAGGGGCACTTGGAGAGGCCAGCAGAGGGGAGGATGGGATGCAGCCAGGGATTCTGGAGACGCACTGTGCGTGTGTGTGGGGGCGGGTATCTGCAAACCTCAGTCCCTTTGATAGTTGGGAGAGAAACTTAGGTTTATGGACCAAAACCTGCGCAACCAAGCCACAGAGACAGGAGGACAGCTCCACTGGTTGGTGTGCCCACGAGGTGATGTGTGTGTGGCAAGGCCAGTATATTTGTCTGGGAGCAGCATTTGTTTCCGGGTTCCTATTTGAGTTGTACACTTATTGGGGGACAGTGGAGATGAAAATAATTTCGGCTTTCCCTTGGAGTGCTGCTGGGGACACTGCGCTATTCCTATCCAATCAACTGAAAAACGGGCTACTTGACATGTGGGTAGGAGGCGATGGGGGACATTCTTTACGTTTAATTGTGTCAGAGAACACTTTCACTACAGGTCAACCAATGGGAGCTGATGGGCAGTGAAGGGGGCTTCGTCTCCCTTGAGAGTGGTGTCTGGTGTGGAGTTGGGTGTGAGAGATTTAAAGACTTCCATGCAGGGAGCTGGACAAGGCTGCCCGAATTTGCGACCTGATGTAACTGGCGAGTGAATGCCTCGCTGCCCACAGGGAAGGGGGACTCGGGCAATGCCCTAGGGACAGACTAGGGATGGGGGATAATGTGTTGGGGAGAAGCAGGAGGAAAGGCAGCTGGGGTATGAGTATAGTGCTGGGTCGCCCGAAGCCAGGAGCTGTGTCTGCGGTGCTGGACCCCTGCCCTGCTCAACTTGCCTAGGTGGGTGACGACCTCCAGGATCAGCTGGGACGCCAGATCATCAGTCACTAAAGTTGGGGGCGAGAAGGGGCGTTGCTTCCGCAGGGTATTTTAAGACCCTTGGGGCCCTGCAGAGGGGAACGCTGGAGTTGAAAACAGAGGGAGTGGGCACTACTCAGCATGCCTTTCCCTTATTGCACCGCGTCTTCTTTTCAGTAGAAAAGACCCCTTTGGAGTCGGAAAGGTCTTTAAAGATCATAAATTACAAAAACCCAAGCCTCTTCTTCAGATGAGGAAACCAAGGCCAAATGGACAGGCAGGACACTAGTTCAGGACGGTTGGAGACGGACCCCAGCTTCGCGTTCTGGGTCCAATGCCCTTTTCAATTCCTTCTCCTCTACCCCCACTCCCTCCCTCGTCTCCTCTGGGAGACCTCTTTCAGCTCCGTTTGGCTCCTAGGCAACAGCTGGTCCCATCCCCAGCCTCCCCCAGGACACTCCAGTCGCCCTCACTGACCTGAGGCTTAGGGTCCGGAAAATTAAACTGCGAAAAGATAAACATTATTTCCAGTCGGCTTTGCGGGATTAACGCTTGTAATAAAGAGCATTAACTGGAGGTTTCTTTCAAGGCGCTCTCGACCCCACCCCCTCCAGGGGCCAGGTAGACCCCTGCGGAGACCGCGGAGACGGCAGAGGCTTCCTCGTAGTGTCTCCAATTGAGAATGGTAGTCCAGCTAGTCATTTGGCAAATGGGAGCGAGATCCTTGGCATCACACTTGGGAATATAGGACACTGAGGCTCAGACTGGAGAACAGAACACAACACCAAGGTCCTGAGCAGGAATCTGGAGGGTGGGGGGTGGAAAAATTTCGCTCGCGCAGTTGGGAAAAGTGGAGTCCCCAGAAGTTTTTTTTTTTTTTTTTTTTTTTTTTTTTTCCCTCCAGCTCTCCCAACCTAGAGCAAGAGCCTGCAGCCTAGGCTTGTCCCCAAGATCTGAGCCTGGCTGGCTGGAGACAGCTGAGCCAGGTGTGAGGAGGGCTGAAAAGGGTAGCCTGGAGTCAGAAAGCTGCTTTGCCTGCTCAGTTTCAGGTCTCCCTATGCGCAGCTCAGACACGTCCCTTCCTCTCTCAGCATCCAGCGGTAAAACACTGACCTCATCAAGTTCTCCGTCTTGGATCTCAGGGTCATTTCCAGAGCTCAAGGCAAGCTCCAGGGGTCCAGCATAAGGACTGCATAAGACGTGTCTGAGCCTGAGATTATCCGAACCTCAGGACCCCACCACAATCTGTTCCCACTCTCTGCCCCCACAGAGAGAGTCCTGAAAATCTCCTTGTATAATCTCTCAGAATCATATTTTGAGTAGAGTTGTGATTAAACACCAGAGCAAGGGGAGGGACAATGCAGTCCTGCTCTTCTCCTTGGAGCCTTGCTGGTCCCCACAGACTGCTGGACAGCTGTGAGCTCTGCAGTGAGTGTCCCTAAATGCACAAAGCTGAGCTTGAGGTTTGGAAGTCCAAACTCCCTGGATGGCTAAGGTGACCTTTTTTTGGCTGGGCAGCACCAGGGGCTCACACACCACCCACAGTCTCCCTCCTTTCTTGATCCCTCTTGCTGCAGATACCATTAGATGGGCATTGGACTCACTAGGTCATCTTTATGATCACAGTCAGTTTTGAGATCCTATCACACTGGAGTCCTTACAGTGTCAGATTCAATGCCCTGTGTCTTAGTCCATTCGGATGCTGTAACAGAATACCATAGACTGAGGGGTTTATAAACCACAGAAATTTCTCACTATCCTAGAGGTTGGGAGTTCAAGCCTAAAGCACAGGAAGATTTGGTGTCTGGTGAAGGCCTGTTACCTGGATTCTAGGCAGTATTTTCTCATTGTATTGTCACAGTGGAAGAGTCGAGGGAGTTCTCTGTGGTCTCTTTTGTAAAGTCTCTAATCCCACTCAGGAAGGTTCCACACTCATCACCTCCCAAAGTCACACTTGCAAATACCAACACACTGAAGGGCAGTTTGCAACAGCTGAATTTCAAGGTGGAGCACAGATTCAGTCTACTACCCCAGGTTCTTTAAGGCATGTACTCACTTACATGTCACAGCAGTGTGAAGAAGCATTGGGTTACACTTACCAGTGTGGCCATGATACTAGCAACTGTGTCATAAACTGAGGCTGAAGGCGACTAAGTAACTCCATGTCGGGTATCCAACTGTCAAGTAAGAAGTCAGGCTCTGAGTAAGATGCTAACCACTGAGCTCTCCTGCTAATACACACTATTATTTTTAATTTCTTTTATTTGGTTATTAAAAGCATATGTTTCTGAAACCCTATAAAGCTATTATTTCATGCATTCCTTCTCAGAAATGTCCAGTGAATAAGGGCTTCTGGTACTTTCTGGATCCACACCCATGCTTTGACTGAGAGCATCCCTCATCAGTATTTGGCAAAATGCTTGGGTCTCTACCATCAAAGTCAGCCTATAACTAAACAGTCACACCTCTTGGGCTGGGAGACCTGCCTGTTGAGGTTCTCTGACAGATCCAATGACTCTGATCTGACTCCTGTTGCTGGACCTCAAGTCACCAGCCTCTAGCTCTAGCAAGGGTAGGATGCCTGCTATTAGGCAGGAGTAAATCCCTTCCCAGTAACAGGTGCAAATCTTTCCTCCGGGATTTGACCTGGATTCATCTTCAGTCTTATTATCTGGTTCAACTCTCCTCCATCCCAAAGCTCAAAGGCTTATTACTGGAGGGGGAGGAAGAAATCTGGGGAGATAATTGTCCCTCCTAGCTGCCTGGAGACAGTTTAGGATTCTTGGGTTGAATGCATCCTTACCGTGCAGACCAATTCTGTCCCAAACATGAGCATGCACTGAAGAATCTGCACACATTTGGGCAGACAATATCTTAAGCAAATCAAAGCATTGGTGGGGCAGAAATTTCTACCCTGGCTGTTACCTGACACAGCCAGATCCAGCCTGAGTATAATAAACCAAATCCCTTCTCCACATAACTTGAAATTGGCCCCCAGAACCCACAAATCTTACTTTTCTCTATGATTCATCTTTTTTGACCCCCCACACCTCCTCCTGTTCTCCCAAATGGGATTTGTTGCGTCCTTACTCTGGGGCAATAGAGTTTAATGGGCATCTCCCATAATATAGCAGAAAATTCTTCTATCAGCATATTTTTTTGTTTGTTTTCTGAGAAAGGATCTCTCTCTGTAGCCCAGGTTGGCCTTGAACTTGTCACCCTCCTATCTCAGACTCATGAGTGCTGGGATTATAGAAGTTTGCCACTCTAACAAGCTAGTATAACTTTCTTTATGAAAAGGTAAGTTGCTGAGGCACAGAAAAACAATACTTCATGATCTCACTTGTATCTGGAAGCTAAAAAATGATTTCATGGAAGTAGAGAGTGAAATCATGATTACCAGAGCCTGGAAAGGATGTAGAGGGAGGAAGATCGAGAGAGAATGGGTGCAGGACACAGTTGGATAGGAGGAAAAACATCTAATGCTCTTTAGCACACAGTAGGATAACCATGGTTGATAACAATTAATTGTAAATTTCAAAAGAGCTAGTAGAGAGGATTTTGAAAGTTCCTAGCACAAATGATAAGTGTTTGAGGTGATGAATATGGCAAATACCATGACCTGATCAATACACATTATACACTTGTATTCAAATATCACACTGTGCCCATAAGTATGCCCCATGACATTACCGTGTCTCTGTTAAAAATTAAAAGTAGTATTAAGTTGCAGAGCCAGAGGAACAGTGACCCAAGTTCAAGGCCAAGTTATCAAATGTCTTTGAGATTCTGCCTTCTCTTGGAAGGTTGGGACATGGTTCTTTCATAAATTCTACAGTTCTCTTGCTTGGAAAAAGATTAGATCACCTAAAAAACTATCTAGCATTTGTTGCCCTTAACGCAGAGAAACTAAAGCAGATACCTTAAAGCAACTGAGGCCAATAGGAAAAGGGGAACAGGTACTAGAGAAAAGGTTAGATCAAAAAGAATTAACCTAGAAGGTAACACCCACACACAGCGAAATCAATGTTGAGTCAATCCCTGTATAGCTATCCTTATCTCAACCAAAAAAATCCCTTGTCCTTCCTATTATTGCTTATACTCTCTCTTACAACAAAATTAGAAAATAAGGGCCAAAATAGTTTTCTGGCTGGGGTATTGAGGGGGAGAGAGGAGGGGGCCGAGTGGGTGGTAGGGAGGGGTGGGGCAGGGGGGAGGAATGAACCAAGCCTTGTATGCACATATGAATAATAAAAGAAAAATGAAAAAAAAAAAAAGATTAGATCAGCGTTTCTTGAATTGGAAGATTGCTAAAGGCAAGTTAGCTCCAAACAGAGACTTCTCCCTTGTGGAGTGTGAGAATTAGAAGAGATATGAAAAGGGCTGGCTTGGGTTACTCTGAGGGTCAGCAGTAGTTGATGTCATGACCAGCCCACATTGTAGGGCTAACACATTCAACTGTTTAGTGAGTTAATAGTTGGTATTATTGTAGAGCAGAGCTGTGGTTTGAATTTGTTCCTCAAAAGTTTATGTGTTGAAAACTGAATCCCCAAATTTATATGTGAATGGTATTTGGAAGTCTTTGAGGTATAACTGGGATTAGATGGAGTCATGTGGTTAGAGCCCCCATGATGACATTTAGTGGCTTTGTAAGAAGAGAAAGACCTAAGATAGCTGGCCTCTTTTGTGGCTATGATATAATGCTATAAGAAGATCCTTGCCAGGTGCCAAGCAGACACCAGTGCCGTGCTCTTGTATTTCCCAGCCTCCAGAGCTGTGAGTCAAATAATCGTCTATTCTGTAGAATAGAGGACTACTATCTAATCTTGAGCATTTTGTTATAGCACCAGAAAGTAGAGGAAGACAAGCAAAATGGGGTCATCAGAGACCTTTGTTGTCTCTCACTGGACTGTCTCCAAATTCTACCTAGGATTTATTTAAAGTCTTAGGAATTTTGCCCCAGAACAATGGTGGACAAAGATGGAGTTCAGAGCTGTGGCTCTCAACCTTGGTGGTACATAAAATCAGCCAGGGAAGCATTTCTTTTTGTTTGTTTTGATTTTTTATTGCCAACATCCTGGCTGTACTCCAGACCAATTACACTCAATATTTAGAGGATGGCCCAAGAGTATTTTCCCAAGCTATCCAATGATCCCAGAGTGAAGCCCATGTTGAGAAGCAATGAACTCCAACTGGGCTGTTTCTTTTTCCAGTCTCAGCTTTTTCCAGATGTGTATGTGTTTGTGTGGGGTGAGGTGGGTGACTGGCTGACTAACTAACTATGTTTTCCCTCATGGTAAAATGGGATCTAGTATTTAGATTTTCCCACTTGGTGTATAAAGGAGCTCAAAGGTGGTCAAGCAAGTCACTGTAGCCAGTCTCTATCCAAGAGGATGGGAATTTGGCTCAACCATTTGAAAGGAAGTATAACTAGATTTGATCATCAGGGCATCGTGGTATATGCCCATAATCCCTGATTTTTAGGACCAATATCCAGTTACAATTGCACCCAATCTTTAGGGGTGTTGCTCAGGAGTATTTTTCAAAGC